TAAACGCCGGAAAACGAATAGAGTTCGTTAATGAACACCCGGGAGGGGATCCGACAACGTTCTTTCCATCGGGACAGGTACATCTAATGTCACGGTGTTCTCTTATAATCATTTTATAGGAACCGTCTTGGTCAGACCTTATTTCCTCCTGAGCTGAACTCATGTCTACAGGCAGAACCTATACAAACACACACAAGAGCTGTTTTCTGCTGATGATCGCGCTGCCCTAAATCCATGTTTCTAGAGATGCTTCTTGGCACCCCGCCTCTTTGATGTGGTTCTTGTTATGGTATTCTGTCTTTGGAAAAAGGCGTTTCAGCAACTCAGTCCTTTAGCCTCAATTTTAATACCCAACACGTTTTGAAAACCAATTTCCCCCCTAACTTATTTGGTGCCAAGACCTGAACTGAAACGAGCCATTTGTCTTCATTTATTCCATGTATTTATAGGTTTTGTTTGCAGTCGTGGTAATGTTTGACTGTTCGTAGTGGCCCCACACCCTACTGTGGGTATCATGACAAATACATATGTACAGATATGTAGTGCAGGCATGGCATTACCCTTCAAAAGTAAAAAATTAAAATTAAAAATTGAGTTCGAATTCTACAACTCATCTGGCCTCAATGGATTTGGATAAGAAATGTCACTTGATAAATTAAATGTATTGATCCAGGCAAAGTTGTGGGAGGAAACAGCTTTTGGCAAAGCATTGTGGAAGTGGATAAACCTAAAAAGAAAAGAGACCTCTTCTACTTCATTTGTTAATTTTGAAGTTATTTAATGGGAATAGATTCTTAATGATATGTTTTTAATGTAGGGATTGTGTTTTATATTTCTTACTAGAGGCCCAGTGCACGGATTTGTGCACCAGTGGGGTCCCTTGGCCTGGCCTGCGGGGGTCGGGCCAAAACCAGCTCTCTGACATCCCCCAAGGGGTCCTGGATTGTGAATGGGGCACAGGTCATCCCGAGGGACCCCACCGGTTCATGATCAGGGCCGGATCACAATCGGGGCTGGGGAGGGATGGTGGAGGGCTCTAGGGCGTGTCCGGCCAGTCTCACCCAGTCCCAATTGGCCTGACCCCAGCAGCAAGCTAACCTACCAGTTGAAGCCTCTGCCCCCTGGTGGTCAGTGCACAACATAGCAACTGGTCGACCAGTCAAATGGTTGGAGGGACAATTAGCATATTAAGCTATACACACACACACACACACACACACACACACACACACACACACTCTAGGGGCCCAGTGCACAAATTTGTGCACCTTGAAAGGAACTGTGGTGGGTCTCAGCCCATCCTCCATGCCCCCACCCAGCTCCTCTCACTGCGGCCCCAGGTCCCCTGTCTGCTGGCAGCCCTGCCCCTGCCACCACTGTTCCCATGCACTGATGTTGACGGCCCCGTTCACACCCGCTGATGGTGCTGAGTGATTGGGGTCAGTGCCAGCAGTGGGTGTGAGCTGCAGCTGCTGCCCTGATCACTCCCCAGGAGCAGGGGGAAGTGGAAAAGCCCTCAGGGGCAATTAGGGCTGGCAGCCGCCACTTGAATCCGCTGATGGCGCCAAGCGGGGGGTGCCAACAGCTGCTCTGGCACTGACTGTGGGTGTGAGCGGGGCCAGCACTAGCAGTGGGTACGAGCGGCGGCTCCGGCGCCAGTAGCAGGTGTGAGTGGGGCCAACGCCGGCAGCAGGTGCGAGCATTGGGCAGGACTATGGCGCGTGGGAGCAAAGAATTTTCAGTAACTACTAGGGGCTTGTCCTGATGACAGTTATTGGCTCCCTGCCTTGGTTTGGCACCCCCGCTCACCTGCTCCACCAGCCCACTGCGGCCGACACCTGCCATGTTCTGCACATGGACCATGGTGGTCAGTGCACATCATAGTGACTGGTTGGTTGTTCCGATTGTTCCACCGTTCAGTCTATTTGCATATTAGCCTTTTATTATATAGGATAGATATCTCCCACAAAGCTGTGTAAGTGGTAGGTATTAAATATTTATTGATTTGAGAACAGTTGCTCAATACTCTAGAGTTTTACTGGACAATTACAAGAGCTGGGTTATATTTTTAAAATGTCATGTTTATAATCTAAAGATATAGAATCAATGCTGGTTTATCCCAAAGCAGAATCATTCAACCATTTGGCCACTCACCCAACACCTGTTTCTTGAGTACCTACTATGTGTGCTAGGTACATGTTAGTCAATAGGATTACACTGGTAAATAAGATGGACAAGGTCCCTGCTCCCAAGGGCCAGTCTGGTGGTGGAGAAAGCCAAAGAGCAAATGACAAATACATATGTACAGATCATGATAAGTCCATAAAGGAAATATACCAGGTGCTAAAAAGAGTTTGATGGGAAGACTTAAGTAGTTAGCAAGGTCAGTGAAAGCCTCTCAAAGGAGGTGACATAGATTTGGTATGAAAATTTACCTTTTGGGGGCACTAATTTTGTCTCATCATTGTGATAATAATATCAAGTGTTTGATGATTTGAGTAAATTGAGTGTTTGCATGTAGTCAGGTGTCTAAAACACATAATAAACCAACATATAATTTACAGCTACAGCTAATTGAACTTCTTAGGGTGAACACATCAAGAGTAGGATCATGTCTTATATATTCTTTATCTTGTTACAAAGTACCCTATGTTAATAAATGATACTAATTCATGTATCCAGATATTTTTCTTTTTGGTTTTTCTAATGGTTGGAAATGTATTTAATTTTGGTATGATGCCAACAACATCCATTTTAAACTACTATCTGTATTGAAGGCTATTATTTAGGTAGTTTTCTGGGGCAGAAAATTTATTGAAGAAAACATTTTTTTAATTTAAAAATGCAGGTTAGAGAAAATAGGAAAGCCTAAAAATTAGGGTTTTGTCCCACAAAATATAGATAGCTCTCCAAAAAGAAAAAAATGGTTTTTTAATGACTATTGTTCAATTACAGAAGGGTATGATTCTAACAGGGTGTTGTTTTTTTTAATAGCATTGTGAGGAAACAGATCAATATTTGTTGCTCTAAGCCAATGTCACAGTGCATCTCTACATTTAGGGAGCTTGGTAGAGGGGAAAAAAGGACAATAGAAAAAGAAAACTCTCAGGATTGAAAATTTTAATAACTTATAAACTGGGTTTTTGCTGCAGTAGTGAGTCAGATAAAAATGCTTGTATTTGAAGTGAAAATGAGGAAAAATCAGAAAAATTAAAAAGCACACAACTTCTTTTTTTCTTCCTGGTTTGATGATAGTCTCTTTCTGAGAAATCTTAATTAAACTGATGCATTTTCTATCTTGCTTATTTGAGGATGTGTTGTATTAAAAAAAAGATTATCTCTTACTTTTAAAAAAAGGACATAATAATTCATTTAGGATGCTTCTGAAAATTTATATCTTCCATAAGTACACACACAGGAATTAATAAAGCCTGAACTGGGAGTTGAGAAGGTCAAGGAAGAGAAACAAAACAAAATTAAAATAACAAACACATTTGTTATGGATTTTAACCATTTTCTTTTGTATGTATACACTTTCTCTAGGAAAATCTAATTATAGATTGTGGAGGCTTCATTGAGTCTAGATGCTCACAGGGCTTGAAATCAATTTGGTGTGTACTATTTTGGTGGTCATCAGTGGTGATCACTACGGAAATTGCAAACTAATCAACCCACCTTAATACAAAATAATCAAAAAGAAGAAAGGAAAGAGTTTCATGTAACCTGAGAATTGATCATTCACAGCATCATTTAAAGTTTTGGGGCTGCATACCCCTTTTAAGTTTTAATGTTGTTGTTGTTTTTATCAACCTACATGGGACTTTCTTTGTGTACTTGTTTTGAGATCTGAGAGAGACATGCCTGTCACTTCAGATTTTAGGAAAATTCTTATACTGTTTGAATCATACTGTTCTAACCTCAGACTTTATTTTTTAAAGTTGAGTAAAGAAAGTAATTTAACCTTTTCCTTGAATGTACTGGTCTTACTAGGACCAAACATTGCTTTAGTACCATGAGTCAGATGTGGAGTCCACTGAGGTGCAACTATTTGTCTTAATAGTTGGTGACCCTTCCTTCCCCCTTTTGATTGACAAGAAAGCAGACCACATTTAGATCTGATTCTAATGGCCTGTAGTTCTAAAAAGAATATGACCATAGGGTTACTTGGTGACTTTAAGATTCAATTTTCACCATCTTAATTACTTTTAGAACTTAATATTTTTATATATGACAACTAATCTTACGCATGATCTGTCAGAACCCAAGTTTCATTTTCTATTTCTTTTTTTGGTTAATCTCACTCAAAGGTATTCTTCCATTGATTTTTTAGAGAGAGTGGGAGGGAGGGGGAGAAACACAGAGAAACATTGATGTGAGAGAGATACATCAATTGGTTGCCTCCTGCTCGTGCCCCAACCAGGGCCTGGGATTGAGCCTGCAACCGAGATATGTGCTCTTGACTGGAATTGAACCTGAGACCCTTCAGTCCAGGGCCAATGCTCTATGCACTGAGCCAAATCAGCAAGGGCCCAAGTCCCATTTTCTTACACTAAGTTGTCCACTGTCCATGAAATGCTTTGTAATAATTTTATTTCTGGCCAAAGAGGATGAATGATATTTTCTGCAGGAACCATTAGGACTAGAAAGACCAGTTATATTGCTCTAAATTAAGTAGGCCAATCCCTTATGAGAGATTATCCCATAATGACCGTAGAAACATTTATATATACCCTCAATTCTGGCTGATGTAAGTGAGGGGCTGATTTAGAAACTAAAGTTAGATTTTTTAGACTGACTTGTTCAATAGACATTAACTTACATTTTTGTGTGTGCTTTTCTTTGCAGGAAATTGATGCCTTGTCAAGATGATGATTAATCATTTGTATTTGGGAACAGCAGAAACAGGGACCAATGACCTGACAAGGGTTTTATAAAGCAGTTACATACACTCCTATGCCATTGCTCTCCTCTCCTATCTCACCTTCAAACTTGTCTTACCTATGGCATTCAGGAGGCAAGTGAAAAACTTTGTGAAAAATTACTCAGAAGCTGAAATAAAAGTCAGGGAAGCAACTTCTAATGATCCTTGGGGTCCTTCTAGTTCCCTGATGTTAGCTATCAGTGACCTGACTTTCAACACGATTTCTCTCTCAGAGATTATGAATATGCTATGGCAGAGACTAAACGACCATGGGAAGAACTGGCGCCATGTGTATAAATCCCTTATGCTAATGGATTATCTCATCAAGAATGGATCTAAGAAAGTTATTCAGCTTTGCCGAGAGGGGTTCTGTAAAGTTCAAATACTAAAAGATTTTCAACATATAGATGAAGCTGGAAAAGACCAAGGTAACAGTTAAAGAAGTGTATACTGTGTGCTAATAAAGAGTAGGAGCTTGGGAGGGGATCATTTTAAAACAGGAGCTGGGGAAAAGTTGTTCTTAAACGTATTAGCTACCTTTCCTCTGGGACAGTTGTGGTTTCCAGTTTAATCCTTTGTGTTGTCTCTTGAGAGCCTTAGAGGGCAGCATTTTGGTTTTTTCCCCCAAAAAGGATGTATAAAACTAACACTTAGGTTCATGATAAAATAATACCTCATAGAAAATGAGCAAAGTGAATAAAACAGGAGGTATGGCAAATGGCTAAAATAATGTCACTATAATTCATAACTATAATTAGATTGGACTTTAGTCATAAATATAAGGAAATGTTTCCAAAGTCTATGGAATCTTCAAAGACTAGTATATTCAAGTGGTTTTATGAATATAAAATCTAGGTCATAAAATAATTTTGTCAGTGGAGGAGGGGGTGAAATAGGGAAAGGGTAAATAGAATACTGAACTGAGATTATTCAGTAGTGCCTGATTTTCTACAATGGTAAAAAATCAGCACTTTCTCCCCATCCAATGTAAAATTATTATTTGTACTTAAAGTGAATAATCTTACGAATAATGAGAAAAGGATATAATTCAGTGCAGTGTGTATGTTACCATAAGTTTACAGAAAATTGTGCAGAAAGTACAGAGATCTTGCATACCCTTTCCTACCCTCACATGGTTTCACCTATTGAACATCTTGCATTAGTGTGGTACATTTGTTTCAATTGATGAATCAATATTGATGTACTAGAGGCCTGGTGCACGAAATTTATGCACTCCCAGGGGAGGGGTTCCTCAGCTTGGCCTGCACCCTCAGGGGATGTCCAACTGATGGCTTAGGCCCGTGGTCGGCAAACCGTGGCTCGCAAGCCACATGGGGCTCTTTGGCCCCTTGAGTGTGGCTCTTCCACAAAATAGCACATGTGGGTGTGCATGTACAGTGCGATTGAAACTTTGTGACCCAAGAGCAAAAGCCAGTATTTTGGGGAAGAGCCGGTATTTTTTTTTAAGATATTTATTGATTTTTACAGAGAGGAAGGGAGAGGGATAGAGAGTTAGAAACATCAATGAGTGAGAAACATCGATCAGCTGCCTCCTGCACACTCCCCACTGGTGATGTGCTCGCAACCAAGGTACATGCCCTTGACCGGAATCGAGCCGGGACCCTTGAGTCCTCAGGCTAACACTCTATCCGCTGAGCCAAACTGGTTAGGGCAAGAGCCAGTATTTTGTGGAAGAGCCACACTCAAGGGACCAAAGAGCTGCATGTGGCTCCTGAGCCGTGGTTTGCCGAGCCGCAGTTTGCTGACCACTGGCTTAGGCCCACTGTTAGTCGGACATCCTTAGTGCTGCCGTGGTGGCAAAAGAGGCTCCCGCCACCGCTGCTGTGCTTTGCCAGCCATGAACCCTGCTTCTGGCTGAGCAGTGCTCCGCCTGTGGGAGCACACTAACCACCAGGGGGCAGCTCCTGCATTGAACGTCTGCCGCGTGTCATAGCAACTGGTCGTCCCACCTTTCAGCGATTTGCATATTAGCCTTTTATTATATAGGATTATTATTAACTAAGGTCCTTAGTTTACATTACGATTCACTCTGTACTACGGGTTTTGAAAATGCATGCATAATACTAGGGTGTGTGTCACTGAGCCAGTCACTGTTATCATATGTATCTACCGTTCTGTTATCATATAGGATAGTTTACTCAGTAGTTACTACCTTATAAGTGCCCTGTTCTCCACCTATTCATTCTCCCCTGCCTCACCCTCTTGAACCCTTGACAACCAACAACTGATCTTTTTACTGTCTCCATAGTTGGAATCAAATGGCATGTAGCTTTTTCAGACTGGTTTCTTTCATGTAGCAATATGCATTTAAGATTCTTCCATGTCTTTTCATAGCTTGAGAGACCTAATTTCTCTTTTTGTCCTCCACTTTTTTGTTGTTGTTAATCCTTACTCAGTATTTTTCCATTGATTTTTAGAGAGAATGGAAGGGAGGAAGGGAGGGAGGAGAGAAGGAGAGAGAGATAGAGACAGAGAAAGAGAGAGAGAAGTCCTTTAAAACTCAATTAAATATCGATGTGAGGGAGACACATTGATTGGTTGCCTCTCTCATGTGCCCAGTTGGGGTTGGGGATTGAACCTACAACCCAGGTACATGTTGTTGACTGGGAATCAAACCTGATGCTCTGACCACTGAACAACACTGGCCAGGGCTTTTCGTAACTTTTTTAAAAGCAGCGTTATTGAGATACGTCATATACAGTATAATATAATTCACCCATTTAAAGTGTACAATTCCATGGCTTTGGTATGTTATTTTTAAAGCTCAAAATATATATAACATGAAACTTGCCATTTTAAATGTACAATTCAGACATTAATTACATTCTCAATGTTGCATAACCATCTCCACTATTAAGCATACGTCACCTGCTCACTTCTAATCTACTTTCTGTCTCTCTCACATCAATGTTTTCCCTCTCACCCCTCCTCCACTCTCTAAATATCAATGGGGAAAAAAAAATAGCCTCGGGTGAGGATTAACAACAAAATAACAAAATCTTTGTTTAAATCCTATAACAATATAGATTATTGATTTATAGAAAATCCCATAGAGTTCTGTAGAATACTGATTTCATTTGGAGTGAATTTGTTGTGATTGTTCTTTTATTGGCTATTAACATATTTTTAAAAAAATCTATCTTGGAATTTTAGTTTTCAGCTTATTTTGAGTGAGATGTTATTCCCCAACCACTCCTGTTCACTTTTCCCTTTATGTTAGTTTTTTAGTTCCTGCCACCCAGCTTCCTTTGAGCCTTCAGTATAGCCCTTATAAAGGTAGCTCAGGGCTCCTGCTTGAGATAATACTAGGGTGTGTGTCACTGAGCCAGTCACTGAGCCAGCAGGTGGCTTAGTTTAGTTTCAAGCCTTAAGGCTGCATGTGTGTCCTCTTGCTTCTAAACCCACAACTAAAAATAAATTATAGCCCAGGAAGCTATTGGGGAATTTTTTTTCCCCTTTCTTCTAAGACTTCTCTCACAAACATGGATAAACCCCTAACATCAAAGAGTGAGACAGTGCTGATTCCCTGGCACCTGAGGAGCTGAACTCCTGGTGTCAGATCAAGAGCCCAAGAGCCTGTGGCTTCAGCCCTGCTCACTGCCATTTCATTTCTCTCATATTTCTGGATCATGGAGGTTTTTATCTTGTTTTTGAGACTGATGATGTCTATTATTGCTGTGATTTTTGGAGAAGAGCAGAGGGTAATTTGAAGCATGAACTTACTGTGCCAACTGGACTGAAGATTTTTTAACTTGAAAATAACTTAATGTTTGGGATACTTCTCCCCTCCCTCCCATCCCCTATCCCTGAGGCATTGTGAAGGGCAGATTGGAAGGGAGGCTAAAAATCCTATATAATAAACCCTAATATGCAAATCGACCTAATGGCTGAATGACGGGTCGCTATGATGTACACTCACCACCAGGGGTCAGACACTCAACACAGGAGCTGCCCCCTGGTGGTCAGTACTCTCCCATAGGGGGAGCACTGCTCAGCCAGAAGCTGGGCTCACGGCTGCTGAGCGCAGCAGCAGTGGCAGGACCCTCTTCCGCCTCCGCAGCAGCATTGGGGAGCAGGCCTAACCCAGCAGGCAGACATCCCCTGGACTGAAAGAGGGAGCAGGCCAGGCTGAGGAATTCCCCCGCCCCCAAGTGCATGACATTTGTGCACTGGGCCTCTAGTAAGTAAATAATTTAGAACACCACAGGCAACAAATGATGAGGGAGATGGAGTGGAGAGAATGGGCTTAGAAGATATTTAGTATGTACAACCAATAGACATACATTATTGAATTTGAAGAGGTGAATGCTCATATTTCTGGCTTAAAATGGAGATAAAATTCACTGAGAAAGGAATATGGGGAGAAGAGTAGATTTTGGTGATTCAGAATGGAGAAAGGAATATTAAGATGTTTTGTAACTACTGTGTGAAGCTCAGTACATACTGGTATAATTCTAAAAGTCTGGTCTGTGTCTTTCATGCTGGTGCATCTCAGTGCCCAAGATCTTTGAATTTAGCATGCTTCCAAATCTCTTCACTTGATATTCAGTTATGAACTTACATAGACGCCTTCTCTGTATTTGGGAAGTTTTTCTCAGCATATTCATTCACTCATTCATTCATTTAACAAGCATTAGGTATTTCTTAAGCAAACAAGTGTAGTTCTGGCCTTGAAGGATGTTATACATTGATAGAGGAAAAAGGCATTTATCAAATAGCAATTACAAACAGTGGAAGTACTATAAAAGATAAGTGTAGCGTGAAAGTGGGGCCTGACCAAGTTGGGCCGGTGGAAGCGGGTTTTCCTCTCAGAAAGGCTTTATGAAGAAATGAGGTCCGAGCTGTTCACTCTGCCAGGTGCTTTCTCCTGGTACATCTGCATAGGTGGCTTTTTCTTGCTGTTCAAGACTCAGCTGATGTGGTACTTCCTCAGCAAGACATTTCTTGACCACTCCCCAAATTAATGTTTAGCACGTCACTCTTCTTTATCTCCTTTAAAGTATTTATTTTTCTCTGGATTTATCTTGTTTAGGGTCCTTGTCTCTTTTTTTCTTCACTTGTGCCCCCACTCTTTAGAACATTTTTTGAAACATAAGTGTTCAGAATGTTTAAATGTGAATAACCTTGGGTATTGGTCTGTTGCGTGGTTGTTCTGATTTGCATATCCTCAAAGTCCTCTGCTTTGAGTTTGGTAGGAGGACTCAGTTGGTCTTCTACTTGTTCACTTTTCTATCCTGTTGATCCTCCCCTCACTCTACCTTTCTAATGGGAGTTGCCAAGGGTAACATCTCACTCTCTGGCCATACTGATGGGCATGTGACTTGCTAGCTGGGACAGAGTTATTCTCCTGGATTTTTCAAATTTGAAGGAAAGAAGAGGGAGACTTCTCAGGTGGCAGACTATGAGGTGAACCTGGAGCTGTTTGTGGCCATATCCACATCCAGATTGAAGAAGCTGGTCTGCAGCAGGAGAAAATGAAGGCATAAAACAGAGAGAAGCAGAGGTGGGAGAGGAGAAAAGAAAGAGTCCTTCCTGGTAGTTTTCCAGTTTCTGCTTCACTTGGACCTGAGGCCCAATTGCAACCCGTGGTTTTTCCATGCCCTTTGCCTTAGCCAATTCAAATTGAGCTTCTTTTGCTTATAGCCAAAGATTCCTAATTAAAAATAGTATATAATTTTATTTTTACTTTAACCTTTACCTCAACTAGCAAACTTTTCATCTTGATGTGTTTTATACAATATCTTTGGATATTGATCTCTTACATAGTATCTTGTTTCAGAGAAGCCATATTTTCTCCCTCTCTCTGTTTCTCTATATCTCCCTTCTTTACCCTCTCCTTTTCTCCATCGCTCTCTTTTCTTTCTCTCTCTCTGATACAAAGAAGTTACTGCCTAAGATTATCCTATTTCCAGTAATAGTCTATTTTAGTTCTGTGTCCTCTTTCCTTTATTTATTTATTTATTTAAAATTTTGTTTTAGTGCTTAAAATATTACAAAGAGCAGTACATATGTCTCCTCCCCCCCCCCCCCCATTGACCTTCCCCTGGCCTCCCCTTTCCTTTATTTAAAAACATATTGGTTAGCCTTGGCCGGTGTTACTAAGTGGTTAGAGCGTCGACCGAGCCTTGAAGGGTCACAGGTTCGATTCCCTCCTGTGGGCAGGAGGCAACCAATAGATGTGTCTCTCTCACATTGATGTTTCTCTCTCTTTCTCCCCCTCACTCCCTCCCTTCCACTCTCTCTAAAAAAAAAAGACACAAAAACATGTTGGTTGGAGGTGAAGTACATGCCATCTTATTTTTATTATTATTATTATTTAACCCATCCTTGAAACAGACTTATTGGGTTCTTGAAATTTTTCACTTTCAACTTTGATGCTTTAGAACAGCCAGGTTTCTATTCTTCAGCATCTCAAGGACGGAGGGGAGGTAGCCAGGGCAGTGGGCAGCCGTGAACAGGAAGTTCGTGTCTGGGTGATTTCTTCCCAATTTTCTGTCAACTCCTGTGATTTGACCTTACTGATGCTGCAGATTGCTACTTCTTAGGCAGCTAGGTTATAAATTGGCTCTCATTATCCATTCATACTATGTCAAGAAGGAAATTCAGATTTTTGGTAATTTGCTCCTTTTATTGATTCATTCATTCAGTAAATATTTATTAAGCATCTACCATTGCAGTCACTCTTCTAGATGATGAAGATGCTGGATGAATGGGATTCTCTGCCTTAATGGAGCTTATATTCTAGGTGAGGAAACAATAAACAAATCCTATCTAATAGAAAAACATGGTAATTAACTGTAACTTCGCTACCCTTCCCATTGGCTAATCAGCGAGATATGCAAATTAACTGCCAGCCAAGATGGCGGCCAGCAGCCAGGCAGCTGAAGCGAACATGAGGCTTGCTTGCTGCAGTGATGGAGGAAGCCAAGGTTCCCCACCTGCCGCAGCCCAGCTCTGAGCTCCGGATGCAACAATGTTGCAATTATAGAACCTAAACAAACCCCAGGTACCTACTTTCAGCCAGTGCGGCCTCAGAGCTTAGAGAAGCCAGTGATGGCAACAGAGTTTCAATTATAGAATCTAAACATACCCAGGTACCTGCTTTCAGCCAGCAACGGTCTCAGAGCTGGAGCCGGCTCTCAGCTCCAGTGACAGCTATAGAAGGTAAATAAATCCCAGAATAAAAAAAGAAAAAGAAAAAGGAGAGGCTGGGAGCTTCAGTCACCTGCCAGCCTGAAAACAGCCCTCAGCCCCTCACCCAGACTGGCCAGGCACCCCAGTGGGGACCCCCACCCTGAAGGGGGTGTGACCAGCTGCAAACAGCCATCATCCCCTCATCCAGGCTGGCCAAGTACCCAAGCGGGACCCCCACCCTGATCCGGGACACCCTTCAGGGCAAACCAGCCGGCCCCCACCCATGCACCAGGCCTCTATCCTATATAGTAAAAGGGTAATATGCAAACTGACCCTAACAGCAGGAGGACTGGGAATGACTGATCACTATGACACACACTGACCACCAGGGGGCAGATGCTCAATGCAGAAGCTGCCCTCTGGTGGTCAGGGCGCTCTCACATGGGAGGAGCTCTGCTCAGCCACAAGCCAGGCTGATGGCTGCCAGTACAGCAGTGGTGGTGGGAGCCTCTCCTGCCTCCTCAGCAGCGCTAAGGATGTCCGACTGCAGTTTAGGCCTGCTCCCTGCTGGCAAGTGGACATCCCCTGAGGGCTGCCGGGCTGCCAAAGGGATGTCTGATTGCCATTGTAGGCCCAATACCCCGGGGAGCAGGCCTAAGCCAGCAGGTGGTCATCCCCTGAGGGGTCCCAGACTGCGAGAGGGCACAGGCCGGGCTGAGGGACCCCCCCTTACCCCCCCCCCCAAGTGCACAAATTTTTGTGCACTGGGCCTCTAGTAAATATATAATACAATATTAGATAGTGATTATGCCAAGGTGAAATATAAAGTAGAGCTTGGGAGGACTGATGGGCTGGGGCTATTTTAGAGAGGGTGAGCAGAGGGAAGGCTTCTCTGAGAAGGTGACATTGGAGTAGAGACCTGAATGAATCAAGGATCTAGCCATGCAAAGAGTTCCTGGTAGAAGCAACAGCCAAAGAGCGTGGTAGGATTATAGAATAAGGCAGCCAGGGGGGCTAGAGTAGAGGGAGTGAGGGGAAAAGTGGAAGGAGATGAGCTCCTGAAATTAAAGGGAAAACAAGTTTTTCATTCCCCACCTAAACTAAGCTCTGTCAGTTATGGGGTGGGTGGGGGAAGGTAGTGTCTGGTGTGTTTCTAGTCCCCTAAGGAGACTGCCTATCATGCGGCAATGAGTGGTAACCCAAAACACTGGATTTTTTGGCTATAAACTGCAAGCTAATTATAGGAAATTAAAGTGTTTAGATTGATAAGGTTTGAAGCAATTATAAGAGAGTTTGAAAGGAAGAAATGACTCAGAAGTGAAACTGGATAAAATAATCTTGAAAAAGATGGCAGCTTGAGCAAAGGTTTCTTACATGATCCCTATCAATCCTTGATGAAATGACTGGCATTTAGAGAACATTGTTGGCCCCTCTTCTCTAAATATGGGGTGGGCAAAAGTAGGTTTACAGTTGTGAGTATGTGGAAACAGTTTATTCTTATATCATATTTATTAATTACTGTGTTTTCCATACAACTATAAACCTACTTTTGCTCACCCCCTGTATACCTTGAATTTGACCATTTCAAATTATTTCCACTACTAGTAAATTATAGTTGGAGACATTAATGTTTAATTCATCGCACTTGGAGCCCAAAATGAACATAATAGTGGATCTTCAGGGACTTTTCAGCTTACCTCAAAGAAGGCTTGGAATGACATGAAATGTTAATATAAGTTGGTCCCAAGATGTGGAGAAGTAAGGGATTTCTTTTTTTTTTTTTTAATATATTTTATTGATTTTTTTACAGAGGAAGGGAGAGGGATGCGGAGTTAGAAACATCGATGAGAAAGAAACATCGATCAGCTGCCTCCTGCACACTCCCCACTGGGGATGTGCCTGCAACCAAGGTACATGCCCTTGACTGGAATCGAACCCCGGGACCCTTCAGTCCACACGCCGATGCTCTATCCACTGAACCAAACCGGTCAGGGCAGGGATTTCTTACATCATTTCTCATAGAAAAAGATTGAGAATAATAATAGTATTACCACATATTTGAAAGAGTAAACTTTTATATCTGTGAATTAGACTGAACAGATATACTGTTTTTCAGGAAGGAAACTCAGGCCAGGCAGACACCTGGTTCAGAGTCACACAGGTGCTAGAGGGCAGCAGCATGGTTGGAATTCAGGTCTTAGACTGGGCTCTGACACTCTGTTAACGGCATCAAGTTGCGAGGAGTTTATGTCAAAGAAAAGCCAGTTGCCCGCCCTTTTCTTTTCCTCGGTAGTTGTACCCCTCTAAGGTAACACGTTAATAATGTTTTGGGTACACAGTGCGTGTCTGCCTGCCCCACCATTACCCATCCATCCATCATCAATCCGTCCATCCATCCACCTTTCTCTCCTGGATACAAATACTGGTTTATTTTCCCCTATGCTTTACAGATTTGAGTCATACTATGCATATTATTTTAAATCTTTAGCCATATACCGTGGTCATTCATCTAGGTCAGTACATCTAGATCTAATTCATTCCTCCACTTTGCCAATTTTGTTTGACTTATTGCAGATTATGTAGTGCTTTTAAAATTATACTTAAAGTGAAAAAATGTAATGCCAATGCCTGAATAATTTCACCTTATATTTATTGAAGTATTTCTTGAAGTATAAGAAAAGGAGTATCTATAATAATAAAAGGGTAATATGCTAATTAGACCAACATCTTCTGGACATTATTCCGGACATCCTTCCTGATGAAGCCCGGGCCTGAGGGAAGCTGGTGCCAGCAGCCGGGGGAAGGAAGGCCTATTCTTGCACAAATTTTCGTGCATCAGGCTTCTAGCTTGTTGATAATTGTAATGAAACTTTTAGGTTTCCCTCTACATTTGCCACAGGTTTTTTTCACTTTGCTCACATATTCATTTTTCCTAATTTTCTTTTGAATAGAAATTAATTGTAGCCTTAATATTTTTTCTATGCATATTCAATGTATTTTTCAGGTTATCATATCCGGGAAAAGTCTAAGCAAGTCATAACATTGCTGATGGATGAGCAATTGCTCCATAAAGAGAGGGAAGTAGCATGTCGGACTAGACGGCGTAGCTCCTACTCTATGGCATTTTCTAAAAGATTACCTCATACAGGTAACTCTCCAACAGCCTGGGCTTCTGCCCCCACACCAGAAGTTCCTGCCTCAGAGAAGTGTAAGCTTCTTAAGGTTGCAAGGCTATGTAAAATAAGTGCATATAATGAACATTGGCCTAATATGCAATAGGTATTTAAGGACAACTAAAAAATATAATACATAACTTGTAGTACAAACTTGTTAATATAAGACTAGTTCTAATATTACTACTATATTAGTCATCATACTTTAGTGAACAAAGATGAAGAATAATATTCAGTAAAATATTTTATGGCTATTTTCTGAATGCAGTTATCTGGGATTCAAATAAAATGATTTTGAGCTTAAAAGGAATTAAATAAGTTACTACCCTATTTTGCATCCTGATTGATTTTTAAGATTATAATTAAAATTGGAATGTCAGTAAGAACTGTTTTCTGAGACTAGGAACTGGGTATGTGTGCATTTGTGCCATTTAATTCTATAAATCAAGAAATTGACATTTTCTTAAATGTGCCTCAAAATTTCAAAATTGCTCTAAAACTCTTCTAGGACAATGCCTTGTGTTACATAACTGCCGGGAGCTGGTCCATGCTTGCTGTTTCAAGGGACCTGGCATATATGGCATACTGTTCTTAATATGTTTGCTCACCTTCTTGGCACTATGTGTTTTAACCAAGGTCTCTGAGAAAGGTTGTTTCCCCAGGTAGGGATTTTCCCCTGAAGTTAGGGAGGGAAGAAAACCTCTTAACTAAGTGCCAGGTGGGTAATTAATCACTTTAACTACGAACAATCATGCTTAAGCTACATAATCTTTACTCCCTGGAATGGAGATAAGAAACGCCCTAACCTTTGTAATAGAGATTGATAGGATTGAATCAACTGGTATAAATACAGATGTAACAAGACAGCAAGAGTCAGAACTTAGAATACAGAGCTTAGAACACAGAACTTAGAATACAGAACCAAGAGAGACGGAACCTAGGCACAGAACCTACACAGAACGTTCTCTAGAGACAGAAGAACTTCGCTGGAGAGAACATGGCAAAAGATCCTGGACAGAAACTGGCCTCAGAACCTAGAGACAGAACCTAGCGAGAGAACATGGCAAAAGATCCTGGACTGAACCTGACTACAGAAATTGGCAAGAGAACCTGACTAGAACCTGGTGACTGAACCTGGCTGGAGAACCTGGACAGAACCTGGCTGGAGAACCTAGCGAGGGAACATGGCCACAGAACCTGGCTGGAGATCCTGGCTGGAGATCCTGGCTAGGCTGCTGATCAACTGAACGCTGTCTCCGTGTCCTTCCTTCTTCGCCGACTCCGTCCACACCTTTGTGGACCCCTGGACCCGCTGGGGTTGGACCCCAGCACATAACACTTTCCTTTGACTAAAATGTTAATTCTGGACTACTGAACTTTTCTTAAAAAGGGATTTATTTTTTATTAGAAAGCAGGAAAATGAATTTTTTTTCTACCAAATTTGCTACAACATAAAGGACAGTACAAACCCTGTGTGGATAAGCTGTGTTTAAGGAATGGACAGGTTGAGGAAACAGAAACATTAATGAAATGTGACTTAGATCATTGTCCCTTGAACAGAACTAAACTTTGTGCTGTAAGTGAGGGGCTTAGTAGGAGTAACATATAATTAGTTACAAGTATTGTACCTCTAGCTTTAGGTAAATATGTTTTTCATGATCCTGAAAGAGATGCAGGTATTCAATATGAGTAGACATTCCAAATGTCAGTTAAGTATGAAAATATAAAAATGCTAATGGTAATACCAACACAAATCAATTCTACTAGAAATCATTAAAGTATTTGTCTGACTTGGTCAGGAGTTCTCAGTCTGTACTTGTGTGGACTGGGGAGATGGAAATACAGTAAAGAGGTGGCCATTGTAATTATAATAGTAAATACCACCAAATGCTTCTAAAAGGTGAGGAACCTCTTCCTCTAGGGTACCCATTCCTTTGAAATATATCTCAAAAGAGACAGACCCTTTTTGAAATTTTCTCACGGAAGCCTTGAATTCAAACTGACCCTAAAAAAGAAGTAACAGTAAAATAACCAATTGTAGTTTATCCAGAGTTTCTTTACCCCTTTTGCTACTTCTCTGGTACCTGTCTTGTACCTTCCTTCATTTCTTCTCTCTCTTCTTTTCTCTTCTATTATAAATATAATTGTATTGAGTTTATTATTTGAAATTTTGATGTCTAGTAGAAATTTGGAGCTATAGCTCTGATAATAAAGCCCTTTGGGGAAAATATTCTAGTGACTGAGACAGATATTAAAGACACATAAGCAAAATAGATATAAAACTATTATGTCAGGCTCTGGCTACTGTTCTCAGTGGTTAGAGCGTCTGCCCGAGCATGGAAGGGTCACATGCCATCAAGGGCATGTGCAATTTTGATCCCTGGCTCCAATTCCTGGCCACAATCCCTGGCCCTGATTGGGGCATATGTGGGAGGCAGCCAATTAATGTTGCAATGTCGTCAAACAGCGGCTCTTATTGATGTTTCTCTCTTTCTCTCTCTCCCTCCCTTTCTCACTTCCACTCTCTCTAAAAATCAATGGAAAAAATATTAACAAACAAAACAAAACAAAAGCCATTATGTCAGATAGTGAAATGGCATTTCCTATTTGTAAAAGAAAACAAGGAAAGCAGTGTCAGGGGACAGAGAAGGAGAGGAATGACTTTATTTTAGGCCAGGTAGTAAGGGAAGGCCTTTTGGAGGAGGTGGATATATAAAGGTAGACCTGAATGATGGGAAGAGTAATCCATGTAATAGCTGGGGAGTTCCAAGCAGAGGGAACAGCAGGTGCAAAATGCTCCGGAACTGGAGCAAGCTTGACATGCTTAACTATAAGCTTAGGAAATGAGGCCCTGAACTGCTATAGAACTGGCTCATCTCTGAGCTGTTTTATGATTCATATAAGAAAAATCTAGCTTATTATTTTATAGTCACTACTTTTTTTTAACCCAAAATGATATTCCCAGCTTTTTGACACATCTTATTCACTAGACCAGTGGTCAGCAAACTGCGGCTCGGCAAACCGCGGCTCGCAAGCCACATGCGGCTCTTTGGCCCCTTGAGTGTGGCTCTTCCACAAAATACCAGCTCTTCCACAAAATACCGACTTCTGCGCATGGGCCACGAAGTTTCAATCGCACTGTACGTGCGCGCCTGCACGTGGTATTTTGTGGAAGAGCCACACTCAAGGAGCCAAAGAGCCGCATGTGGCTCACAAGCCGCGGTTTGCTGACCACAGCACTAGACTAAGCTCTAAATGACTTTTGACTCTTTTTTAAAAAATCATTCTACCTTAAAATGAAGACGTTTTACTACAATTCATATTTTTCATACTGTAAATATGTCTTGAGTACCTACTTACTATATGTTAGATACTGTTCTAGGCCTGGTAAGCAAATTGAGTTTATTTCCACTCCCATGGAGGTAATATCTAGTAATGGGCTTTTTGTTTGTTTTTAATGTGCAAAAAATTTTAATGAATGATGGCATCATTAAAATGAATCTGTAGTAAGAGTACTATTTAGATAGTGAATGTTTGGGTGTATAAGCTGTAGTAAATTTGTTAAAAATCTGTTACATTATTTTTAATTTTACTTATCCATATATTTATGTATGTTTTTTGTTCGAAGAATAATAATTTAATTAAGTACGCTTAAGCAATATTAACCCTTTCCATGTAGGATTCTTTGTTTGAATCTGAAGCTGTATTTTAAAGGAAGAAAGAGAACTGACAATTTGGGGTAGGAGGGAAGATAGGAAAAATTGGGGGGGCCTTCTTAGTGGGATAGGAGAAGTAGCAAATAAAAACTTAGAGATGGATGGATCAGTTAGAATTTGGTACACCCACAAGTGATAGTAATAGAGGCCATAAAAATGGTAGCACATATCTTCTATACTAATAAAAGGGTAATATGCTAATTAGACTGGGTGACCAGTCATCTTCCAGATATCCAACTTCCTTCCGGACAAAGCCACAGTAGTGGGGACCGAGGCAGAGGTGGTTAGGGGCAATCAGGTCGGCAGGGCAGGGCAGTTGGGGGCCATCAAGCTGGCAGGGCAGGGCAGTTGGGGGCCATCAAGCTGGCAGGGCAGGGCAGTTGGGGGCCATCAGGCTGGCAGGGGAGTGGTTAGGTGGCAATAAGGCTGGCAGAGGCAGTTAGGTGTGATCATGCAGGCAGGCAGGTGAGTGGTTAGGAACCAGTGGTCCTGGATTGTGAGAAGGATATCAGTCGGACATCCCCCAAAGGGTCCCAGATTGGAGAGGATGCAGGCCAGGCTGAGGGACACCACCCTGTGCACGAATTTCATGCACCGGGCCTCTAGTCTATAATAATAAAAGCATAATATGCTAATTAGACAGGACAGCCGAACAACCTTCTGGACATCCTTCTGGATGTCCTTCCGGACAACCTTTCGGACGAAGCCGGGGCTGCGAGGGCTAAGCCCCTTACACGAATTTCATGCATTGGGCCTCCAGTATATAATAGGAATCCAGAATTAGGTATTCTATGACTGCTATGGCTCCCGATGATGTCAGTGACCCAGGGATCTCTCTTTCTTGTTGCTCCACCAAACTCAGCACATAACTTCCATTTCATGATCCAGATCACATCTGCATTCTAGCCAGTAGTAAGGAGAAGTTGAAATATGAATGATCCTTCCTTTTAAGAACATTTATTGAAGTTGCTTATGACATTTGGCTTACATATTATTGTTTAGCACTTAGTCAGATGGACATTCCTAGCTGCAAGAGAGGCTGAGTAATGTAATCTTTATACTGGACAGCTATGTACCCAGATGAAAGTTAGAAAATCTATAGTTAAGGAGGAAGGAGAGAATAAATAAATATAAGGACAGCAAATAGTCCTGACCATAGTGGGAAAGAATATAAACAAGAAATGAATTAATCATGGTAATACAAGGTTGTCAGATTATATAGAATAGAGAATATAGATTTGAATATGTAGGAAAATGTG